CGAAGCAGGGAAGGGCCAGGGCCTCTCAGGGCAGCCGTGCGAGGGGCTGCGAGGGTGGCCATCGAGCCAGACAGCCTGGGTCCAAGTCCCATCTCCTCACTTACTGGTGGCCTGCCTTGGTTACGCCACCTGGGATCGAGCCCACAACCCGGGCATGTGCCCTGATTGGGAATCGAACAGGCGACCTTTTGGTACACGGGACTACGCTCAACCAACTGCGCCGCACCAGCCGGGGTGAGGGTCTTCTTATTTACCCGGCACTTTCACAGATGAAGGGGTGTCTATCATCAAGGGGTTGGCATCTTGGAGACCTTGAACGAAGCACCCGAAAATGGTACCTAAGAAGGCACCGTGCTGACATAATCCCCCGCCTTCCACTCGTGTCACAGCCCAGACATGCATCCGACCTCACTGCCCCTTCCTTTCTCTTGGCAAGACTCTCCCTCGGAGTCTCCCTGGGCAAGTTCAAAAGCCCACAGACCTTCACCTCAGCATTGTTTCCACAGGCAGGATAATTAGATTCAGCCCAAAATCATGTACATCACGGGCTGACGGTCGGATAGCTCACTGGACTTCTCCATGTGGAATGTTATGTAGTCGTTAAAAATGATTTAGGAGAAGTTTGCGATAATAAGATCATGCTCCTACCAAACTATTGATTTGAAAAGGCAGGATACGAAATGATCTGTGTGTTTTTATATTGGTGCCATAGCAACCTAGGGGTGGCGTCACTGTCGCCTTCTGAGGTCTTTCATTTTCTGAATTTTGCACTGAACATGTGATGCTTTCCTGATTAGAAATCTACTTAAAAAAAAAATCCCTTGTACAGCAATCAGAACATGAAGGGGTTTATTTCCCTCAAATACCGAAGGTTTGGATCACTGCGGGGGACGTGGAGAGCCTGCCCTTGGTACTCGCACTCCAGTGGGTAACGCGGCTTGGTTTTCCCCATGGAAACGCCCAAGACTGAAGCTTCTGCAGGGCAGACCCAGACTTTCTCAAACAGGACAATCCGCGTCCCTCCTTGTTCTTTCGCCCAGTGTTCACAGTGCAGCTATGATCAACAGAAACAACCGGTGATATTAGAAATTACGACCAGACTGGACTTTCCCATAGGGTCACGTTGGATGCTCTTAAGATCGAGCGTCTTAAGATCGACGCTCCATCAGCCAAGGTCAGGATGAGACAGCATCTGCTTCCTGGAATAGCCTGTCCCCTCTCGTCGGCAAAGCCCAGCTCAGGGGCCCTCAGTGTCACCGGCGTGCTCGAGACTGCGTCAGACTCCCCGGAACAAAGGACCAAGGCACAGCCCTTGTTTGAAGGCTCCTGGCCCGAGTCCCCCGTGAGCTGGACGAAAGGCACACAGGGGACTGGGCTAGAGGAAGCCGGGAGCCAGGGCAGGCGAAGCGTTAGGAAGAGGAGGTGTTACGGGCAAAGGCACCGAGGCAGGGAGCCCCTAGCAGGGACAGTAACCAGGTAGGAGACGGAAGGTTCCAGAACATGGGCCCTGGCTGGCCCCGCAGCCTGGATTCAGAACTTGGAGTTTAGGGTGTCCACACTGGGCAGCCACCCTCAGTCGTCACCGAGTTTGTTCTAACAAGTTCAAGGCCCCTCAGAAGACTACTTGGCATCCCCTTGTCACCCCACCCCCCCCGTGTCCTCAGATAGACACAAACCTCCAGATCTATTTTCAACTGGGACGCATCAGGTAAGAAAACAGAATTAAAACGAAGCACACACTTAAAGATTTCACCAGAAAATGTAGTTTCTAAGCTATTCGTCAGAAAATGCGCTCTGCAAAACATCCAAAAGGACATTTCACCCAGGAAAGCTCGTTCCCTTCCCTTGACAGCACAGCGGATGCTGTGGGCAGCGCCGCGTGGGCGTCGGCTCCGGGGGGTCCGGGGCGCTGGGGTCACTCACCACANTGGTGCCGGGGGGGTCCGGGGCGCTGGGGTCACTCACCACAGGTTGACCAGGAAGGGGTGCTCCAGGCCCTGCATGATCTGCAGCTCCCGGAACACGTTCCGCACCTCGTCCCTCTCGATGCACTTGCGCTTGTTCATGTACTTCATGGCGTACGTTTTCCTCGTGTCACGCTTCCGCACGATGCACACCTGAGGGGCGGCAGAGCGCAGGGCAGTCAGGTCGGCGGGTGGGGGTCTGGCCACCTCTGCGCTGGGCCCTGACGCGCTCCTGGGCGAATGGGGGCTGGGCTCTGTTTTCTGCGTCCTCTTAGAAACGCTCCGTTCTCAGGACACAGAGCTAAGAAGGCTGGGCCCGGGGCAGGAGGGCTGGGCTCGCTCCTGGCCCCCACGCCCACCAGATGCCCGGCCCACCAGCTGCCCGGCCCTCACGCCCACCAGATGCCCGGCCCCTCCGGCCTTGCTTCCTCATTGGCCAGGCGAGCCTGGTAGCAACACTGAGTCAGCCTGGCCGGGAGGTACAGAAAGGCCAAAACGGAAAAAAAACCCTAAGGAAGACTAATGCACTGGGTAAGACGCAGAAGAGTTTGGGCCCTGCGGTCCTCTGCCCAGGGCTTATACTCCAGCTCTTTGCTGTGTGACCCTGGGTAGGTCACCCGCCCACGCTGAGCCTCAGTCTACCTATCAGTAGAACGGGAGTGACTTTCTTCCTGCCAGGGCTGTTGTGGGGACAGGGAGGATGCATCCGCGAGGGCGTGGGGTGGTGCCAGCACACTGCGGGCACTGAATGGGGCGAGCTTTCTTTACTTCTCAGAGGGTTAGGTACACAGGATGTTCCTGGACAGAGGGCTTCAGCGAACTGCCATCATTATCACCATGACCAGTCCTGTCATCGCAACCACCACTCGGGATCCGTCTGAAGGAAGGTGGGTGCTGCAAGGGGGGTCTGCTCTAGGACACAGGCTCAGACACTTCTCCCCAACAGCCAGAGCCACGGGTGCCTGGGCAGCTTGGGCGACGTGCACTGACTTGCAGGGTGGCTTGAGCCAAGCCCTTCACAGTGCAGAACCAAGGAGTGAGGATACTCGGGGGCACCCCCAGGCTTTGTGTCAGGCTGGATGACTGAGGCACAGAGAACAGAATGGGAAAAATCAGAGGAGAGGAGTGCAGGCTATAGTCATGGCTGAACAGCTACCCTCCAAAAGATGTGCCCGGGTCTGAACCCCACATCCCGGGAATGGGAGCTGCAGCATATTCCTTTCCCTCTGCTTAGAATGCCCTTCCTGCAGGCATCACCCCCTCCTGACCTGAAGGCCTCCCCGGCCTGCACCTCCAGGTCTGAGCTGGAATCCACGGGGGAGCTGGAATATCGTTTCTACTGGATCTGCCAAGCCCCATGCGGCCTCCTGCAGGTGGGTGGTCCTTCTGCCTGTATTTATAGCCTGGGAGGAGGGGCTCCTGTCCTCCCAGCTCTCAATCCCACGGCAACCACGTGATGGAGGGAACCTGTGGAACCTGAGCAGCGCCTCAGCCTCTGGAGCTCAAGACCAGTGTCCTAGAGGGTCATGAGCACTCCTCACCAACAGGCGACCCTGCCCAGGTCCCGGGGACACTCAACATTAGAACGGAAGAGGTGAGTCCCAGAGGCACCTCAGCCCCTTAGCTGGGCAGCTCAGGCCTGTCCACGAGAACTCACAGCTGAGGAGGCAGAGAACGAGCCAGTGGCCAAAGCCACCCAAGCTGCTAGGAGGCAGGCACCCAATTAACAGTCCTCATTAGTCTAATTCAGTTAGGAACTGATGTCATCATTATTAGTTTTTTGGGACAAACATAAACGCCAGCTAGTGCGGATTTCAGGCGATTTGCCGTAAGAAAGGCATGTGGCAGGCACACTGCACATCCGAAACTGGGGAGTGGGTCTGGAGTGAGCAGGAAATAAGGGTGACAGGAATCTAAAGCCCGCAGCATTTGGTCTCTGGGACGGTGTCGGCCACACCCGGAGCTCTGGGAGGGCCTGAATTCTGTGTTTTTCAAAAGCTTCCCGTGGGACCTGATGTGCCGACTGGCTGAGCATCACTTTGCTGGAATCCTCTGGAAAGTCTCTGGCTGGCTGCATCTTCACCGACCTTGATGGTCAGGATTCTAACCCCGACTTCACAGCTCAGGCGAGCCAGCTCAGAGGACCCCGACTTCACAGCTCAGGCGAGCCAGACCCAAAGACCCCAGAACCAGAGAGGCAGGAGCGGAGCTGGGACCCAGAGCCACATGGGTGCAAGGCTGGCACTGCCCTCCCGAGGCCCCTCTCACCTGACTCAGCTGACCTTCGGGCACTGCCCCCCCAGCTGGCGTGCACCCGAACGAACGCTGCCGAATGAATAAACAGCTAGTGTGTGGCGCTGAGGGGACTATTATGTTTGCAGGAGCAGGATTCTGGGAAACAACCAATTTGGGGGGAAATCAGAATTCGATACCATTGCTAAAAGAGTGATCACGCTGGGCCCGCTGTTCAAATGTCCTTCCTGACGGGAAGACAATGACTGTTAACTGCCCAGTGTGCCTCACCTTTCTCTTTATAGCAGGGCAACAATTTTCCCCAAGGAGGCAACGTGACCCATTACACACTTGCAGCCAGAGGTGGCCATCGTTCTGCCAATGAGACAGTCTGCCAGGGGCTTCCAGGAAAAGTCTTGTTTCTGGATAAAAGGGAACAGCTACAAATGGTCCACTTTTCTCCCCTCACCACTTTCTTGTCTTTCCTACCCGGACACATGTGTAACGTCTGGAGCTGCAGCAGCCATCGTATGACCACGAGGCCGAGAGCCTCTCAGAGATGCTGAACCTGTTATCATAGAGCTGCCCACCTTCAGGCTTCGTTATCTGAAAAAAACAAACCCCTCTTTGTTTCGGCCACCATAAGGCAGGTTTTATGTTTCTCACTGTCCAGCACATCCCCATGTGATACACAGCACAGAAAGCCCATGCGGCCTCTGGTCCATGGTGGCCTCACTGGAATGATAGAAAGTTGGCTTCACAGAAACAGAGACCAAAGGCATGGTTACAGGAGGGATGGGGTGGGGGTGAGTGGGAAGGGGAAGGGGAACATAGTAATATTGTGATACATTTGCACAGTGATGATTACTAGAATTAGTGGGGTGATCACGCTGTAAGGTACAAAAATGTCAAATCACTATACTATAATACACCTGAAACTAATATAACCAATATAAGCTTGCATACCAACTACTCTTAGGTAAAAAAATAAATTAAGAGTTGGCCTCAAGAAAAATACTCCTTTGGATGAGTGAGTGCTTATTAAATGACTTGGGCCTGGTGCCATGCTGGCCATGAAGATATGACAGTCCCCCAGGAACTCAAGGTTTAATGGGATAAACAAGCGACACTCAAGAAAGCCAAACTCCTCACGGTGGGTCCCTGGGCCCTCCATGCCTGACCCCTGCTCCCCTCCAGTCCCATTTGTTACTCTCCTCCCTGTTCACTTCCAACCCTGGCCTGGCCCTGCCATTCCTGTGACTGTCATGCTCTTCCCCACGTGTCCACAGTCTCGGGGCCTCACCTTCTTAGGCTCTGCTCATGAGTCACCTTACGAGGGGGGCATCCCCGACCTCCCTGTGTGAAAGAGCCAACCCCTCCTCAGCACTGTCCTCCCTGCCTGTTTCCTCCAACACCCTGACCAGCTCCTGCCACCGCACATGCATCTTGGTTTATTTGTTTACCCACTGTCAGTCTCCCTCACCGGGTTGTAAACCCCAAAATAATAGGGGTTTTTCTCTCTTTCATTCACTGTTCCATCCTCAGTGACTAGAACAGTGCCTAGCACAAAGCAGGCATCTCTAGCTGGCTGAATGGATAGTCACTATTTAGGAAAGGACAGCGACCGGGAAGGGTGAGCACATGGGGCTCAGGGACCGCAGAAGAGGGATCTGAGCCAGGATATGGGATTAGAGGAAGGCCTTCTGGAAGAGGTGGCAATTGAACTGTTTCTCAGTGGTCTGGAGTTGGCATCAGGGAGATAGAGGCATAGGGGAGGGAGGATGGGGTGCATTATGGGGGGAGGGCACAGCCTTACTAGAAGCAGAGTGATGGGACATGCTGTTAGCATGTGAGATGCGTCAGTAGTTTTCTCACCTTCCTCATTTGTAAAATGGGCTAAGAGTAGTAATTACCTCAGTGGTAGTAAGGAGGCTACATGGCAAGCATGTACTAAGTTATTTATTGCTATTGTGACTATGGTCACCATTCATACATGTTCTGAAGGTAAGGGTGTTGTAGACATGGGCAGAAGTCGCCCAAGAAGGACCTCAGGAACAATTTCCCAATTGCCTGGTGTGACGGTTAATTTTATATGTCAGCTTGGCTGGGCCATGATCCTCAGACATGTTGTCAAACATTAATCTGAATGTGTCTGCAAAGTCGCTTTTGGGTGAAATTAATTTCTGATGTATTTAAATCAGTGGACTGTGAATAAAGCAGGTTGCCCTGCATAATATGGGTGGGCCTCACCCAATCAGTTGATGGCCCGAGTAGAACAAAGACAGACCTCCCCTGAGCCTTTGGGACTGAACTGCAACATCAGCTCTTCCTGGGTCTCTAGCCTGAGAGCCGGGCCTCCAGATTTGGGTCTTATATATGTCTATACACACACATCCTGTTAGTTCTGTGTCTCTGGAGAAGCTTGACCAATACATTTGGCAATGAGTCAGCCGGGATCAGAAGTCAGCACCTGAATTCAACTTCCCATGGGCCCAGGGAGTCACTGAGGCCACCAGTGGAGGGCATCTGGCTTTTCCCCACAGTTCCCTCAAAATGCTGGTACTTGGTTCTAAGCTCTTTGTCCCCAGTCAGCATGTAAAAAGGGACAGCACCAGGGGCTGCATCCCGGGGGTGTGTCCTGCTACCCTCTGAGTCACGCTGGCCTTTCCTAGAGACAACACACCCACCTCGCTGACCCTTGACTTCTGAGTTCCAGCCCGAGCTGGGCGACGCTCCCTGGTGTTCACTCAAGGTAGAGACAAAGGTAAGGGACAGGTGACAGGTGGCCTTAAATGACATACCTAAAAGGTTGGTGTTGTGGCTGAATCACACGTCCCAAAACCCATTAGTTGAAGCCCTAACCTGTGGCACCTTAGAACGTGACTGTCTTAGAAGAGAGGGTCTTCAAAGAGATTATTAAG